TTACAGGAATTGTATTTAACTTCGACAATGTTATATTGGCACTCAAGTATTACTTGTTGTAAGCTTTGAGCTAAGATTTGAAATCTTTTGCATTGAGAATAAGAAAAAATGTGAATTTAAGTTACGGAAATGTGCATGGGGTAAATACGTTGGTAAGTCCGATTAGGAGGTGTAGATGAATTTGATAAGTTGGCTTGAGTGTCCATGGTGAAAGACCAGAAAACCACGCGGATAGGTGTCGAGCCTTCCGGTTAATATCGGTAAAAATGACAATTTGGTAGTGTTTGCTGAGCCTACTTGCAGACATCAACCTAGGAATTACCTGAGTTGTATTTACCGCTTCTATTAATTTAAAGGAATTGGAAGTTTTGAAATTGATGAGAATGTAAAATATTATTGAAAACATGGTGATCTTCAAGTTATGCTTTGAAATGAAGTTCTTTTTTATTATGGCATTGCATGGCATCACATTTGCATATCATGTTGAGAAGTTTTGCATAACTATATATACTTTGTTAGAATTTCCTACTGGGCTTTATGCTCATCCCTATGGGATATTGGTGCAGGTAAAGATGTGGTGATCCCGCCAAACTGAGGGCGTGGATATGTTTTTGGTGAAGAGTAGATTGCTCTTTTATTTGTGTTAACTTTTTGTAAAGCCAAGGGCTAATTTGTATGGGTCCGAGAGACCATTTTGTGTAACCGGGCTATTACCTTGGAACTTGTAAGCCCTTAAGGGTCTTATTCGTTTTGATTAAATGATTTTACATGCTATAGATTCATGTACTAGTTTGTCAATGAATGTATAATCGCATGTGAGATTACTTTTGTATAACATTTGGAACTATGTAAAGGAACGTGGTGAAAATATCTTTCCGACATCCCTTGAGCCATGATTATTATCTTATTTAGAAGTGGGTTGATGTATTTTCTATGTTAGTTTATTTCGGGGCATTACACACACAGAGAGAGAGAGAGAGAGAGAGAGAGAGAGAGAGAGAGAGAGAGAGATGTGGTGGCGATTGAACCAGAACAAAGCTGAGTGGAGCTCAACATCGTCGGAGATATCTCCGATGGCTTCGAAACCTCTAGCAAAAGCAATTTTAGCGACAACACCACCTAGCAACGAGACCTCGATGTCGCCAGGGCGAAGGTAGTGGTGGATCGCGTCGTTAAGATTGACGGTGAAGGCGATCTTGTTGCTAAGATCGACAGCAATCCAATGCGGCGTTAGGTGCTGGCAGTGAGGGTCCTCCGTTTCCTTGTCACCATCCTCCGTTCTGTTAGTGCCGTTGAGTGCTTTCAATTCGAAAGCCTCTATGGCAGAACAAGGGTTTCTAGAGAGAGAAAACTAGGGTTTTTGAGTGAGAGAAAGAGAGAGGGTTTTGAAAAATAGAGAGAGGAGAAGAACAAAGAAAGCGAGAGAGAGTTTTGGGAAATGTAACAATATATATAGGTATTTTGATTATTTTGTAGAACTTGTTCTTATGGACAAAATATTTGTGCGCTTGAACATTTAGATAAAAAACATGTAAGTTTAGACTTTTGGACAACAATTCCATCCATGCCCCTCTTCAAACTACTCCAGTATCTATTCCTATTACTGTGCCTCCACAGAACCCTCAGAACCACGTACCGGCCACTATCACTATCCCTAAACCTTCATTATTGTTATCTCGACCCCTTCCCTTGGTCCCTTTCTATAAGTAAGGGAAGGTAAGACTTTCAAAAGTATCTTGGACCCAGGTATGACCGGTTGTGGCCCACAGGGCCTTAGCCTAAGGCACACGTAAGCCTAAACACGAATCCATAATCACATTGAATAACTAAACAATAGTCCAATAATAAATAATCAAAACTCAATCCAGTGACAAGCCACAATTATAAACGGCAAAATCAACCGTAATCAAAACCATCCAAACTTATGGAATATCAACAACCCACATATCAAAATAATCCTAAATGAATGCCAATAAAAATAAAAATAAAAATAAAAATGCACAAACTTGACATAACACTCTAAAATAAATGAATGTCCTAGAGGTCCATGCAATCGAGTCCCCGTTATGCCATGAGTCCACTCCAAGTCCTTCTAACACCTGGAAATGGTAAACAACTAAGTCAGCTGATAGCTCAGTGAGTAGCAACATGGATAGTTTATACAATTTTGAAAACAGAGATCAATTCCAAAATAAGATATATATCACAGAAACTAGATTGGCATACAGTTTGGTAAAGACAATCTGTTTAAAAAAGAAGGTTCAACAGTTCAACAGTTAAAATACTCACGTCTCTCGAGAACATGATAAATGACATTTTCCACTTTAAACAGATTACAACATGAACACCAATAATTTTTTGGGTACCAAGAAATAACAAGTAATATGCTACACAGTTCTCAAGGCTATAAGCCTCGTTGGATTCAATATCGAACTAAGAGTCATCCTCAGGGTGGCAACCTAGGCCTTTCCTCAACGACGATTCGATTGAAGGTCACCTAGCTTAACCTAGGTCTTTTCCTTACAATCGTTGAGCACTAGAGTCATCACGGCTTAACCCGGATTTGTTCCTTAGTGACCAGAGTCACCACACACAGTGGAATAATTTCCCTGGACTAAATACACAGATGGTCCCAATAATCAATACACATCAGTTTAACAAAAACATGGTAGTTCACCATTATAAACATGGGACCAAAACAAATAGTTTACAGTATGCCAAGTTCACACATGTTTCAGAAATAATTTGATTCCATTGATAATATAATAATTTATCAAAACAGTTTAGTCATGAAACAACAATTTAATTTTCTAACAATTCAGGGCAGGGGAACATTTATAAAAATATGTAGCATGAAACTACTCACCTGAAAACGAAATAATATAATCTTCGAATAGAGTATGAAACTCCAACTAGTGCCCTGAACCAAGTATGAAAACTACACGTCACTACTAATTTAAAAATGCTAAAGAATAAGAACTAAGTAACCCCAAACTAAAGCGCACTAACACGGCTCAAACCAACTCACCGTTACTCTTAAATATAAGTTCATTTTCTTCAAGGTCTAAAATCACCCAAGACACGGGTTCCGATCGAAACTTAACTAAAAGTGACTTTACGATAAAACAGAGTTTTTCTAATCTATTCGCTAACTTTGAAAATTACAAAACCCACTCCATGCTGTTCGAAAAATTCCAAAACCCTCCAGATATCAACTAATATATCCTAAGTTTCAAACCCAATTGGTTTTACTTGATTTCCTTATCAAAATAATTATTTACAATTAATTATGCTCAAACAGGTTGTTTTCTGCAGCACTTTAAATAAATTAATGGTTCTCTTAGTATACACGAGCAATCAATGCAAGGCCAAAAATGTAAGAAACTTCACTCGTAATCGGTTCTAATGATGTTGATTTGATAATTTTCGGATTTATACCCAAAGAGAACGACACTCCTGAGCTTACTGTTTTAAACCAGTTTTCTGGACAGATTTGAACGCATCAGTTTATATGGATTTTGACTCCCAAAAATTATGAAAAATTTCAGATATGCAATTCAATATGTAATTAATCTACTGTAAAAATTTCAGTTCAAAATTTATCCGTTTGATATGGTTTCTTGATTTTTAAAGTTTGCGATTCTGTGCAGAATTTTTTAAACTAAGAATAATACCCATTCTTTATTCATGAATTTAACTCCTCAGATTTCATAACAATATATATATATATATATAGAGAGAGAGAGAGAGACCCAAAATACATACACCTACAACCTCTCCATCAATGAATTATATAACAATAGAATAATGATAAAGAACAAAGAAAGAAGAGAAGAAAACCTAAGAGGCCACAAGGCACAACACACACAAAGCTCTCCTTCTTGGCTACCACAATAATCTTGATGATTGAATCATCCCTCACTTTCCTTCATAACCCATGGCTGCTAGGGCTGCTAGTGTTGTGGAAAACAATTATAACAAGAGTTAGGGTTTTTGATATCCTTATATACATATGTATCTAACCAATATAAAATGTCCACATAAAAATTTAATTAATAATTTTAATTTGACAATATAAAAAGAATAACATTTAATTGATATTTTGTTACAATTAAAAAACATATTTAAATCAATTCAATTCAATTTAGCATTTGGCCCAAATATGTGAAGTGTTGACGTGATTGAATTAGTATGTTGTGGAATGCGTACACTGATAAATTTGAATTATATAATGATGTATTTGAGTAAATTTTTGGATAAAAATTTTGATTTGCAATATTACTGTAAAGTAAATTATAATAAGACTTCACAAACCCATAATGGGGTGTTTGGGAAGAGGGTTAGGCTAAAATAGTATATTGAAAAGCAAAATAGATTAAAATAGTCAATAAGACAAAATGTTATATTCAACCATAACTATTTTATTTTTTCTCTCACAAGCATCAAATCAATTAAAAAAAACCAATTAACTTTTCAAACACAAATATTTTAGCCAACTAAAATAGCTAACTTCCCAAACAAGGTTTTACCAAAAACTTGAGGAAAAATAAAAAGTGTGGTGGAGATTTATTTTAAAAACAGGATGCACCATTCAAGAATTGAATTCAGACCATTCATCAAGATTCAGAGTAAATTCTAGGATTGAACATCCAATTTCTCAGGTTGTGTTTAGTTGGGGATTTAGAGAAAAATTTGGAAAAAAAAAGAAAAGAAAAAGTAGGTTAAATGTAAATAAAATATATCTACATTTTACGTAATTGCACACACATATTTCCTTTCTCTTGTCAAATCCCCCTCCAAATCCTCTAACGAAACAGAGTCTTAAAATTTCAACTATAACAATGGATACAACAAGAACAACTTGAGCTGAATAAAACAATAACAAAAGCTAGCTGACTAAATTGTGCAAACTTAATCCATACATATCATTGGATCATCTTAAAACCAACTACTGATTAGAGAATTCAACAATTAAAAAAAACAGAATCAAGGGTCAAGGACTATTGATCGAAGTTCTTCACTTCAGAGATAGCAATAACTTTGCACTCGACAATTAAAGTGTCATTGACAAGGAATCCCTTGTTGGAATCATGGAGATCTGTTAGTGACAAGAATGTACTCTCACCACAAACGTCACCTAAAGTAGTACTGAACCAGCTCCTATCTGAAACACAATTGTCGGGCAATTATTGTGACTATTTGATTGCCAAAAAAAGATCCAAGCCGTAGATTAAACGAACAAATCCAATGGATAGACAAAGAGACATCTGATGTTTGTAATTTCACCTATAATTTTCTTATGCTTGCCGTTGTGTTGGTTCCTTATGCACAAGCTATACTGTGCATATAATTTTCGTTCTGGAGGAAAGGATTCACCATTATATAACCCTAAAAAGAGAGACAGGCACTTGACCTTTTCTTCTGGACATCCTTTGGGATAGAGACACAATATCCTGCAGTCATTACAAGAATCCATGAAAGCAGTTACAGTCCGTTTGGATTGAGTGATTTGGAGAAAAAAGAAAAGAAGGATTTATCCTGGTTGTTTGGATTACTAAAGAGGAGAGAAATGAGGAGAAGAAGAAATGGAATGAAATGGAGAGAAATTGATTTCTCTTACAATCACTTTTTAAATCGCTCCAAAATTGAAGAGATTTGGAGAAAAAAGAAATGAAATAATTACTAATTTTATGTAATACTAAAATTGTCCATCCAAGCATTAAAGAAATTAAAGTATAAAAAGTTATTTTGGTAATATAACATGTAGAAGTTTCTTTTCCTTTCGTAATTTTTCTCTTCTTTTCTCTTCTCTCTTAACAAATCATTTATTTTCTAGGTATCCAAAGATAGTGTTATTGCTCTATTTTTCCAATCAAACAGACTAGTAATAGAGAGAAGGTAAAAATTCAAAGAATGTATACCACTTGCAACTTTCAGCAGTGAAGACATCAGAGACAACATATTCAGCATCCAGAGATGAAAAGTTTTCAATCTTCCAAGTGTGAATAATGTCAAGTTCCTTAAAACTCAGAAACTTAGCTCTGCCACTATAATTCAAAACAAAAACTTCTGCTCCAAACATGCATTTGTCACCGATGAGGTATCCATTAGAAGGATCATTGAAGGTAGTGAGTGAAAGCAACTGAGGAAAACCCCACTCTGTTATCATCCCATGAAAGTGACTTACCTTCCCATTGGCATGTAATAATTTAGAATAGAATTTAAAACATTTGGTTTGTAGGATGAAAATTTGAAAGCATAAAAAAAATCAGAAAAGAAATTGTTAAGTTAATAAGCAATACCTTGGATGGTCAAGTACTTGTCTTGAATTTGATTATAGACAAACAATTTGAAGTTCACATTGACCTCCCAACCAAGAGGTAATTTATTTGTCTCTGCAATTACCAAGTACAGAGAGATGTAACCTTTCCCATTTCTTTTTTCATCACCATTTGGGTAGAGAGATAATCTCCTTCAAGTTCAATTCAACACGATACAGAACACTAAGAATCAGCTTATGCACAACATTAACTGAAATGTAGAAGAAAATTTCAGCAATAAAAATTGTAAGAAAACTTACCATTTGTAGTCAGTGGCTTGAAAGATGTCTGATTCATAACTCTGAACTTCAGTATCTAACAGTGCTTTTGAGAGTTGTGAGAATGGCTCAATCTTGAAAATGTAGTGAGATGGTGGTATGTCCCTTAATGATCTTGTCACTTCTGTGTAATGTTAGAAGAGAGAAAATGTGAAATGAAGTACTAATTAAAACACTCAACTCAACTCAGAGAGAGAGAGAGGTACCAGAGCTGCCATTCTCTTCCATGTTCTCTGCCTCTTCACCGAATTTGGACAAAGACTTTTAGAAGGCTAAAGCAACGAAGACAAGCTTTTATATACAAAGGAATGTATCATTGCAGAATGGGAGTGACGGACTGTTAAGCTTGGGAAGCTCGTAAATGCAATGCAATTAAAGGTTGTTTTGGAAAGCTAATTTGTAATTTTCCAAAACATATAGTGTATTTCTTGATGAGTGAATGGCTTTTGGAATTCATTCCCTTAAACCATGAAAAAAAAAAATAATCAAAGTTTAGTTTAGAAAAAATATATTGTGTTGAAATTGTATGAATTTTATTTAGGGTTTTGTTCAAGTAAAATCTGTCTAAATAAAAATCTTACTCCTTCAACAAATTTATGACACTGGATTGATGGATGGGTTTGGTTTGGTTTAGGAATATAATATAAACTAGCATATATTTACCCGTGCTATGCACAGATATAAATAAATAATCAAAATTAATTTTTAAAATTAAATAATATTTTATAAAATTTATCTAGAATATGTAGCAAAAATAATTTAGAATAAATTAAATTTTATTCATTTTTATCACAGTTACATATAAGAGAATTTTTTTTTTTATTGTTATGTCATTAATTTTGTACTCTAAGTTCTTAATAACAGATATATACCATAATTTAATTGGTAAAAATTAAAAAATAAATCACAAAAATTATATTTATGATAAAATATAAATATTTTTCGTCTTATGAGTTTCACATTTTGTAGCACTTGTATCTTTCAAAGCTTTTGGGGAAGTGTGTTCGAATCTTTTATTTTTATTTTGGAAATTTTTGATGTTGTTGTACGTTGGTTTTGAAGGAGTATAATCCGATTTAAACTTGTTGGGTTTGGTTGTTTGTACTTATTCTTGTCAAAAGTTCCTTGGAGACTTAGAAATTCTATTCTAGGGTCGACACCAGCCTTCCTAAGGGTCAACCCTTACCTGTTGGTGAAGTTTCTGGAAGTGTTGCTGGAAGATAGGGTAGACACCAGACTGGAGAGGGTCGACCCTCTTATGTCTGTGTGTTAGTTGCTGGAAGATAGGGTAGATACTAGACTGGAGAGGGTCAACCCTCTTATGTTTGTGTGTTAGTTGCTGGAAAATAGGGTCGACCCCCTACTGTCTAGGAGTAGACCCCTGCGTGTTTTTTTCAGATTTTTGAGGTCCGAATGGGCCCTATCTAAGGAGGTTTTTGGGCCTATTATTTTATTTGATCTTAGGGCTTTTCCTCACTACTATAAATAGGCCCAAACCATCTTTCTCTCATGATTTTTCTTCCCTTTTTCCCCTTAAACCGTGATTTCTCTCTTCTTTCTCTAAAACCCAAACTTTTTTCTCTTAAATCTCTAGATCTACTCACCTAGAGTGATCTTTTCACCTTGCTCCTTTGAGAAAAAGTGTAGAGCTTGTCAAGGGCTTCGTTTTGATCGGGGCAAAACGTGGTTTCATTGCCATCGACTTTTGAGCTCTCTCTTCTCTTTCATCTAAGCTTGAGGTAGGGATATTCTACTCTTTAATATGAGCTTTAACCTAGATATTTGTCATTTTCTATAAATGGTGGGATTTGGGAAGATTTTGGTAAAAGTTAAGGTTTGGGTTCTAAACTAAAGGGGATTTTTCATGTTGATTTACAAAGTAACCTTGAGGGTTTGTGTATGAGGTTCTTTATTGTTGAAGTGGTGAGATTTGGACCTATGGGTTGATATTTTGGAAAAAGGGAAAATTTTCCCCTAAGTTGAGTTGAAATAACTATTTATGTAAATAATGAAAATTGGTTTGGGAATTATGAAATTGGGGGAAATGTGATTGAATGGTGTTGTTTGGTTTGATAAATCACACACCTATGGAATTTGATAAATTATCTGTTGATAGATTTATTTATTTGTTTAGATATATCTGTTTTGGGCTATCGGTGGAGGATAGCTATGATTATTGTAGAAATTGCATGAGAATTAGGATGATTAAAACTAATCAATTAAATTATGTCATTGAATATGATGGTTTGATTAAACCATTGAATATGTGTTTTGATTAGTCATTGTATATGACAAAGTGTTTAAATACATTATATATGTATCTTTGTTTAGGAGGAGATATGGGATGTACTCCATTGTTTGGGAGGAGATAGGGGATGGACTCCATTAATAATTAAGTTGGCCAGAGTATCCAGGGTGAAAGTTCTAAAATTTTATATATTTATGGGTGTCGGTTCCCTCGGACGTGGTTCCGTAAAATGACAAGAAATAAAAGTGTTGGATTTGATAAATGTATTGAATTGTGAACCATTGAGTTGTAGTCTCATATTGGTTGCTTGATAATAATGAATTTGGCTAATTGATTGACTCGAAATGGTAGAATGAAAATGAATTGAGATATTGGCTATCTATATTGAATGACCTTGAAAAGAATATGTGTTGGTTAAGAATGTTGCACATTTATCTGATGCTCATATTTTTGTTAATTCTCATATATGGTTTAGCATATCTCTACTGGGCTTTGGCTCACCCTACTTGGGAAACTATTTTCAGGTACATGTGACATGCCATATCCAAGGACATAGCTTGGGAGGCTTAGGGGCTGAAGGCTCCACTTTTGTGATTTTGTTTTGAGTTGAATGTTTATTCAAGCCGATGGCTTTACTTGTATAGAGACTAGACTCTTCTTTTGTTGTAACCAAGCGAAGTCTTGGAAAGATGTAAGCCCTTAGGACATTTATTTTGTTGTTCTAAACTAGGGTTACATGCTATAGTTTCAAGTTGAACATTTATGAAAGTGTAATGCATGTGATATCTTTTGTAATATTAACTCTGATGAATGAAAATATAACATTTCTATTATGTCTCTAGATCTTATAAATGGTTGATTTGTATAATATTATGAGGGCGTTACACATTTTCAATTTATCATATGATAGTAAATTACATTTGCCAATATATTAATTTTTTTTTTATATTTTGTAAAGTCTAAAAATTTGTCTAGTATCAAAATTATAATTTGTCTTATGTTTTAAGATTTACATAAAAATGAATTAAGATTAACTTGTGATATTAGATTTGAGCTTAAAATTAGATTTATTCCAACTTGTCCTTTTGAAAATTTATATTTTAATATTATATAATTTCTTTTGAACTTTCTTTTTAAATATCAAATTAGATGTAACTTGAATTTGATTAAAATTTATTTTTGACTTCTCATCTACAAAAACTTACAATGAACCTAAATTGTTTTTTGAACATTATAAAAAATAAATAAAGAAATATATTATCAATAAGAATAATAACAAAACATATTTTTATTTATTATGTGATGTCTCACCACTATATTAATAATAGACATTAATAATTAAACTCATTACAATAATGCAACAATAATACATCAGATGATAAGTAACATATGATTACAATAATTTCTGATAGTTATACAAAAGTACCTAAAATTATATATAAAAAAACAATATATGATTCATATTCAATTTTTTTTTATAGTAAACTTATTAAGCTCAACCACATATTAATCAATTCATCACCCAAACTATCTACTATTTTTTTAAGTAATATTCACCTTTTCAAAACGCGCTCAAACAATACTCTTCCTTATTGTTTCCATACTCACCACCTCCACTAACTACTATGCAGCTCCAGTCTAGCATAATTAACCGTACTATGCACGGGGTATAAATAAATAATCAAAAATTAAGTTTTTAAAGGTTTTCTTATTCCATATATACACGGGTGATAATTTTTTTTTTTAAAATCCATAAATTATGGAACATTGTTCATTATTTAATTTTTTATTTTATTTTTATTGATGGGCAAGTCAATTAAACATTTTAAATTTTTTTACAAATAAAAAAGATCAAAATTTTGTTTAAGAAATTTTAAAAAAAAGAAGCCAAATCATAAGGAACAATGTAAGACGCCCTGTTTTGTGAAAAACTCATAACTGTATTATGAATTTACATTTATCAAAAGAAATAATAACAACAATATAAACAATAAAAAAATAAAATAAAAGTCCTACAGACATATAAAAAAAAAAACAACAATATAAAAATTACACAAACATCCATCCAAAAAAAAAACTTGAAATCAACTCCCAAAACAAAGATAGCTAAACAGATATCTTTATTATCAATTTAGTTGAAAAAAATACATTGAAAAAAAGTCATATAGAGAAAAAAAAAAAAATACTCACATGAAAATAGAAATCTACACACACACACACACACACACACACACACACAAAAACCAAACAAACAAACACAAACACAAATAAACAAACAAACTTGAAATAAATTTGGACTATTGGCAAAGAGAGAGACAAACCTTTGCACCATTATATTTGGAGCGAAGTTGGCCGGACTGAAAAAAAGATCAAATACTGAATATTTTAAAGAGAAAATTGTATTGAATTTTTAATTTGGTTGGTGTGGGGATGTATTTTCGGAATACCAACACGTGGCATGGTGACGCCGACGTGTCAGCCGAGGTGCCACGTGTCTTGGTAGTTATGCCGAAGTTATCTTTGGCGAGGCCGAGGTGATCTCCGAAGATATCGGAATCCGAGATAGGCGGATAAATGGATAAGGGGCAAGAGTCCTAGATAAAAGAGAAGACTTTGCTAAGATAAGGATAAAGCTCTTAGGGAGTTTATCTTTATCTCTTGAAGAATCCAAAGTAAGCACTGATTTGGAGTCCATAGAAGTTAGGCTTCTAGTGGGACTTGGATTGAGTAAACTATAAAAGAGAGGCACCCCCGTGGGTCTAAGGTACACAGTTTTATACTTAAGCTTGTGAGTTTAGTATTTGATTTATCTTTGAGAGATATACTGACTTGATCGTCAGAGTGCCCCCGGGTGGAAGAGCCACCGCCGGAGCCTTTTCTTTCTGTTACAGGTTTGCTGAAGCCATCTATTCTGCCGGTGCTCTCCAGCTGATTACTAGGCGGGCAGTGTGGTCAGAAAATTACCCACACAATTTGGCGC